ATATGCCTTGTTCTACCTCTTTTTGTGTGTCGCTAGAGCTCCGAAAGTTGGCGAAAAAAAGGATTTTTTCTCTTTTTTATTTTTCAGATTCAAACCCACATATTCATGCCCTTGTATCTCACATGTCGTAACTCCGTTTTGCCTCATTTTTACGTCGTTGGATTTACCTCATAGCCTAGTTTTCATTCATCCCTCATGCGCCTTGTTCCACCTCTTTTTCCGTATAGTTGGAAATCCAAAGTTTGGCCAAAAATAAGATTTCTCTTTCTCTCTCTCTCTCTTTTTTTTTTTTTTTTTTTTTGTTTTTTTGTTTTTTTTCCCTTCCTCTATCTTCTATCTCTATGCTTCTTCCTTCCTTCTTCCTTGTCACGACCTCATTCCACCCTTAATAGAATGATGCCGTGATGGACAGTAACCCAAGATTATCGAAGGCCAACTTACAAAGATTCACACAATTAGAGCATACATATGGGGCATACATGTGCTGAAGCATAAATTTGAACCTAATTAGTCCATAAGAGCAGTGCATATATTAAATGAAATGACATACATATTAACATTGCTTACAACTTGAATACAAAATAAAGTTCATATTACATCTTGATCAAAAAGCTTCTCAAGCGAAAGCATACAAAAGAAAAGAACTATGAAGCTAAGAAGCATAATCTTCAAGATGAATACAAAAGCACAAAGTAAAATACATCTTCCAAGAAGGCTTAGGCGACACCGCCTTCTTGCTCATCACCTACATATATATATATATATGAGGAAGTGGGGTGAGCTGAAAACTCAGTGAATGATATAAGTAATAGAGGTTTGAATAAATGATATTCGAGATTTCGCCAAAACAATACATATCATAACTTCTAACAAAACAAGGGATGAACCAAGTCTATCAATCAAGTCTTTCAATGCTTCAAGCAATGTTTACTAACATCAACATAATACAAGGGATGACATTCATTGACAAAAGAAGGGAATAACCGACCTGGAATTGGTTAGACGAGCCCACCCGTCGGTGGCAAGGGAGATACCTCAAACAAGGGTACTAGTTGTATTTAAGTCCCCTAGCACACAAGGACCTTTCAAGAATGTCATTAAAACAAACATAATACTTGATACAAAAACTAAGGGATAATCATTCATGCCTTATCAAATACTTTTTCAAAACAAAGCAAAGCTTTTATCAACACATTATAAACTAACTTTATTAAAAATATCACTCACAATAGCTCTTCGGATGTAGGGAATAATGCAAGAATCCAAGACCTACAATCACATAGTAGTTACATTGAATGTAGTCAAGAAGGTAAGGAGAGATGCTCAAGATGGTTATGAAATGCACTCTCAAAACAAGTTTCAAATAAGTAAAATAGATCCTGACATTTCTTTCCAAAACCAAGTCAAGACAAAGAAAAACATGTGCTGGGAGTTAAATCAATATTTTTCTTCTTGGAAAAGCAGGCTAGGTAAAAACCGAGTCTCGAAATGGATGCATAGAGATGAGCTAGGCCGAAATGGCCTAGCTAAGTGAACTCAGGGGGTCTTTGTTGAGGTTCCACACCTCTTGGCCGAGGTGTGGTCTCCTTAGTCAAAATGTTACAAGGCGCAGACAAAGGTGTACAGTGGTCAGCCTAGGTGTGCAAGGTCGGCCTAGGTGTGCATGCAAGATAGACTAAGATGCAAGTGATCATGCAAGGTAGGCTAAGGTGAGATGCAATGCTTGGCCTAGGTGTGAGGTTTGGACAAGAGTGGGCCTCGATGACCACACTTTGGGAAATGAAATTTGGAAATTTGGGTTTCCTCTTGAAGAACATGAAGAACATGGTCATGAAGAACATGAATGCGAAAGTAATAACTTTTTATTTAAAATTTGAGATTTCATGATATGAGTTCGAAAACATGGACCCGGGTACCCATACTTGAAGATTTCATGGAAATAAACACAAAAACATAGAACTTGATACAAACTTTTGGATCAAAACATGATTTTTCTTCAAGAACACAAGAACAACACTTTCTCTTTCTAAAACAAAAGTTTAAATCAATGCATGGCTCATGAATCATGCTAGATCATTCAATGTGATCATATTAACATAAAGAACAACAAGAATAGATCAATAATCTAACCTCAAAACACAAATCCAATGGTCCAAGGTACGAAAATCAAGCTTGGAATCTAATTCTCACTCTAAGAACTTCTTCTTCTTCTTCCTAGAGCTTCTGTCTCTACAAGGAAAAGATAGGGCAAATGATATGGGTTTCTCAACTGCTAACTAACTAATACCCATTATTGGGACACATGGAATCATCTGATCTAGTCTCCCTAAAAAGGTGCTAGAGTGAAAAGACAAGAGTAGGTCAAAGTGTGTGTAACAAGTAAGGTGGCATGGGCATTTTGACAAAGCAAGAATCCTGGATCAAAACATAGGCTTCAGGCAAGTAAGGTTTCTCTGACCTCGGCTAAGAGAGGCGACACTTGGCCTAGGTGTGACACACCACGGCCTAGGTTGTACAAGTCAAGGAACAAGATTGCTAGGTGTTGGCTAAGGTGCACAACACGGCTGCAAGGTTCAAGGATCAAAGATCTGGGATGCCTAGATGATAAACATCTCGGCCTAGATGAAACACATTTCTGCCTAGGTGATGTACACCTTGGCTTAGATGATGCACATCTCGACCAAGATGCCAGGGTGAAGGCGGGGGTTAACCAAGATGGTTCCAAGATGATCCTAAGTGTTGACACACAACAACCTAGGTCTAAGAGGTTCAAATGTGTGACCTAGGTGTGAGGTAGAAAAGATGGATAGCCTAGGTTCAACATACAAAGCAAGGAACAAAGCATGAATCTAACACTTAGGTAAAAACACAGCAACACAAAGCAAGACAAGAACCTTCACTTAGACAAAACAAATCAAAGTATGTAGATGCAAGCTTAACAAGATAAAATCATGTAAATTCTTATGAATATGACTAAGGAAAAATGAGGGTTGTTATAGTCTACCCTCCTTAAAGAAGTTTAGTCCCCAAACTTAACTTACCTTGCCCTAAAAGCAACTCCAGATGTTGGATTTTCATCCTCTCTTCCATTTCCCATGTAGCATCCTTTCCATAATACTCATTCCATTCAATTTTCACCATCGGTATCAAATTATTCCTCAAGGGTTTCACTTGCCTATCAATTATTTGTATCAGTTTCTCCTCATAGCCTAAATCTTTATTAACCGCAATCCCGAAATGATCAATCACATGCACTGGATCCCTAATATACTTCCTCAACATTGAAACATGAAACACATTGTGGACTTTGACTTAATTCCAGTGGCAAAGCAAGTCGGTAGTCAATGGGGTTAGCTCTCTCAAGAACTTTAAGTGGCCCGATGTAACGAGGCACTAACTTACCTTTCTTCCCAAACCTTGAAACTCCTTTCATCGGCGAAACTTTCAAGAATACGTGATCTTCATCTTCAAACTCTATTTCTCTTCTTCTTTGGTCATCATAACTCTTTTGTCGGCTCTAAGCAGTTTTGATCCTTTGTTGAATCAGCTTAATCTTCTCGGCTGTCACTTGAACTCTCTCAGGACCAATCAATGCTTTATCCCCTACTTCGGTCCAACAATCTGGTGATCTATACTTTTTCCCATACAAAGCTTCATACAGTGCCATGCCAATGTTAGCTTGGAAATTATTGTTGTAAACAAATTCTACTAATGGAAAAAATAATTCCCAACTTCTCTGGAGGTCCAATAAACAGAACCTGAGCATATCTTCAAGTGTCTGAATCATTCTCTCTATTTGCCCATCGGTTTGAGAATGAAATGTCGTGCTAAACCTCAACCCGGTTCCCAAAGCTCTTTGTAAACTCTACGAAAATCTAGAAACAAATTTGAAATATCGATTTGAAACAATAGACATCGACACCCCATGAAGTCTAACAATCTCATTCATATATAAAAAAGCAAGTCGTTTAGCATTAAATGTAGTCTTAATAGTCAAAAAGTGTGCTAACTTAGTTAATCTATCAACTATAACCCAAATCGAATCCATATCTTTTTGCGTCCTCAACAAACCCACAACAAAATCCATGGAGAAGTGTTCCCATTTCCACTCAGGAATTGACAAAGGTCGAAGAAGTCCAGCTAGCCTTTGATGTTCTACTTTCACTGTTGACAATACAAACACTATAATACAAACTCGGCTATTTCTCTTTTCATATTTGGCAAGTTTGCTTCACATCTTGGTACATCTTGGTATTCCCTGGATGAACGGAAAATCTAGAACTATGAGCTTCCTATAAAATTCTTCTTTTTAACTCCAGAATGGTGGCTATGCACAATCTTCCCTGAAACTTTAGTACTTGATTATCAATGGTATATCCTGGTCTCGGCTTCATGATAATCTCATCAACAACCTTCTTGAAAAGTTCATCCTCCATCTGTTTTGTCTTTACTTCCTCAATAACAGTTGGCTCTACTGAAATCATTGTTAAAATTCCATCATCTCGGCAAAGTACAACATCCACATCTAAGTATTGCAAATCTCGAAGTATGCTCTTTTGCTCGGTGAGTAAACCAGCTAAACTCCCAACGAATTTTCTGCTCAACGCGTCGGCCACTGAGTTAGCTTTAACTGGGTGATACTGAATCTGCATGTCGTAGTCTTTCAATAATTCATGTCATCTTCTCTGTCTCATATTCAATTCTTTCTGAGTGAACAAGTACTTCAGACTCTTGTAATTTGTGAAAACTTGACAAGAAGTTTCATACAAGTAATGATGCCAAATTTTCAAAGCAAATACCATAGCTGCTAATTCTAAATCATGGGTAGGATAATTCTCTTCCTGAGGTTTCAACTGACGAGATGCATATGCTATGACCTTAACCCCTTGCATCAACACACAACCCAAACCCTTATATGAAGCATCACTATAAATCTAAAATTCCTCATTACCTAATGGTAGTATAAGAATTGGGGCTATGACTAACCTCGTCTTTAGCTCCTAGAAAGCTGATTCTCTATCCTCGGTCCATTCATATGCCACTCCCTTTCGAGTAAACTGTGTCAATGTTATAGCAATCTTTGAGAAGTCTTTCACAAGCTTTCTATAATAACCTGTCAAACCTAGAAAACTATGAACCTCCGACACATTTGTTGGCCTTAGCCAATTCACAATGGCTTCAATTTTGCTAGGATTGACAAAAACACTCTCTTCATTAATCGCAAGACCCAAAAATGAAATACTGGAAAGCCAAAACTCACACTTGCTAAGCTTAGCATACAATTTTCTATCTCTCAAAATTTGTAAGGTAAGTCTCAAATGCTTCTCATGCTCATCTCTACTGTTGGAATAGATCAATATATTATCAATAAAATCAACTACAAGCTCATCCAAGTATGGTTTAAAGTCATCAAATACAAAAATGCAGCAAGGGCATTAGTTACTCCAAAAGGTATTACCAAAAATTTGTAGTGGCCATACCTTGTTCGAAAAGAAGTCTTCTCAACATCCTTGGCTTTAACCTTGAGCTGATGGTAGCCTGACTTGAGATCAATTTTAGAAAAGACTCGTGCTCCGTGTAACTGATCAAACAAATAATCAATCCTCGACAATGGGTATTTATTCTTAATGGTTACCTTATTCAGTTCTCGATAATCAATACACAGATGAAGAGTGCCATCATTTTTTTTAACAAATAGAACTGGCGCTCCCCAAGGTGAAGTGATCAGCCTAATGAAGCCTTTATCCAACAATTCTTGTAACTAAACTTTTAACTCCTTAAGCTTGGCTGGGGCCATCCTATAGGATGTTTTGGAAATAGGTTGTGTTCCTGGTCTAACATCAATAGTAAATTCTATCTCCCTATCAACCAAATGGCTAGACAAATCATTTGGAAAAACATCGGGAAACTCATTAACAACTGGGATATCATGCAATTCAACATTTCTATTCAGATTACTTAGTACACTACACAAATAACCTTGACATCCTTTTTGTATCAACTTATAAGCTTTCATGAATGAAATCAAGTAAGGTGGGGATAATACTCCTTTACCCTGAAATGTAACCTCGGCTTGGTTCGGGGGTTTAAAACTGACACTTTTAGAAACACAATTAATGGATGCATGATTTGCTACTAACCAATCCATTCCCAATATAACATCAAAATGAGTCTTGTTCAACGACATCAAATCAACTAATAATTCAACATTCTCAATCACGACAACACATGCTCTATAAATGGAGGCAACAATTATAGTTCTTCTTCAGATGGAGCAGACACATATAATAAATAACCAAAGGGTTCTATTTCTCTATTTAACTTCGTGGCAAATTTAGTAGATACAAATGAATGTGTGGAACTCAAATCAATCAATATATATGTATCTTGAGCACAAATAAGAAGTATACCTGACACTACTGTCTCGAAGCTTTGAGTGTCTTTTGGCACTAATGCAAAGATTCTATCCTGCCTCATCTGTCTTCTCACAACGTTGCTTTTCTGTGCAGAACCCGAGGTGCTCTCATTTTTTTTTCACTATCATTAGTCTTTGTCTTGGGACAATTCTTAACACAATGATCCATCTCACTATATTCAAAGCATCCTCCAAATGCCCGACAACAAACTCAAAAATGTTGTTTCCCGCAACTTGTACATGTCAACCTAGTTCTACTTTCCTGATTTGAGTTGCTTGAACTGCCTACATTCACTTTTTTCTTGACATTAAAGGGTGCTCAGTGATTTTCATAATCCTGCCTATTTCCTTGATTCTCTCCTAAACTTTGATATCTATTCAATACTCTGCGTAAGTTGGCATGTTGAGCATATTAACCCAGTCTTATATCGGTTCACGAAGCCCACTCTCAAACTTTCTAGCCTTTTTGTATTCGGTATTGATAGTGTGGGGTGCATACCTAGCCAACTCGGTGAAAATACGATCATGTTCAGCTACTGTTTTGTTACCTTGTGTCAGAGTCAAGAATTTTGTGGTCTTGCGATCTCAGGCACTAAGGGAAAAATGCTTGTCATAGAATAAGTCCAAAAATTTGGCCCATGTCAAGCCTAAATTACTTTCTCAGATCAACATCCACTACCTACGAGTGTCTTTGTCCAGCGTGAATGTTGCCAATGACACCTTCTAGGTATCGGTACTCGGAAAGATTTCAAACAACTTCTCTATTTAAAGAAACCATGCTTCTGCCTTCAATGGCTCTATACCCCCATGGAATCTTGGCGGATTCATTTTCTTAAATTCTTTGATCAAAGTTAACGTGCTGTCCCCATATAAAGCTGGCCGTGGAGGAGGTAGAAGTGGAACTGCATTTCGGCCGTTTGTCTGCTCGACCTGAGTAGAGGTGGTACTAGTGTTCGGTTGCCTTGCTTGCCTCAACTCATGGGTCAAACCCTGTACCAACCTTTCTAATCTATCCAACCTGTCGTCAAACTGATCTCATCTAATTGAAGGTCTCCCCGTTCTCATGATGCTAGGAGTATGCAAAATGCGACTTTAAAACAAGATGGACAAATAGACAAGTTGCAAATAAACTTGCCGAAATAATGCACACCTTGTCAAATAGCAAGCAATATGATGTAATCCTAACATCATTCTAAGGGAAATTATGCTTTTTAGGATGAAGAGTGTGTGTGAATAAACATACGATAAGGAACCTGGGTTTGATACCAATCTGTCACGACCCCATTTTGCCCCTAATAGAATGATGACGTGATGGCTAGTAACCCGATATTACCGAAGGTCAACTTACAAAGATTCACACAATTAGAGTATATGTATAGGGTATACATGTGCGGAAGCATAAATTTGAAGCTAATTAGTCCATAAGAGTTGTGCATAGATTAAATGAAATAACATGGCTTACAACTTGAATACAAAATAAAGTAAAGTTCATATTACATCTTGATCAAAAGGTTTCTCAAGCCAAAGCATACAAAAGAAAAGAAGCATGAAGCTAAGAAGCATAATCTTCAAGATGAATACAAAAGCGTAAAGCAAAACACATCTTCCAACAAGGGTTAGGCGACACCGCCTTATTTCTCATCACCTACATATATATAACGGAGAGGGGTGAGCTGAAAACTCAGTTAATGATATAAGTAATAAAAGTTTGAACGAATGATATTCGAGATTTTTCCAAAACAATACATATCATAACTTGTAACGAAATGAGGAATGAACCAAGTCCATCAATCAAGTCTTTCAAAGCTTCAAGGGATGTTTACTAATATCTACATAATACAAGGGATGACGTTTATTGACAAAACAAGCCCACCCGTCGGTGGCAAGGGAGATATCTCAAACAAGGGTACTAGTTGTATTAAAGTCCCCTAGCACATAAGGAGTTAACAAAGGCCTCCCAAGTCACCCCAATGCGCCCACACGCATACTTCCACCATTGATCCGCATCTACCTTCAGCTGGAAGGATGCTAAGGTCACTTTCAAACCGTTATCCTCGATGCCAAGCATCTCGAACATCTTCACTATTTGTTCTAGCGACTTATCTGCCTTCAGTGGCTCTATAGGGTCACCCAAAAACTCATCTGGATTCGACAAGAAAAACTCCCCCCTCAAGAAGGATGACCCTGCTTCAGCAACTTGGGTCTAGACTTGATTCTCAACCTTGAGAATGTCTATAGATTCCCGCAATGCTCCGACCATCTCATCGGCCAAAGCACCCATGGCCTACTGACCAACTGGTTTGGCCACATTGGCCTGACCAACCCCTTCCTCTTGTGCTGGAATCTCATTCGGTAAAGGTACCTAATGCCTTCTAGGCCTACCACGCCTACCACTACCACGTCCACGTCCTGACATCCTAATGAAGGTAACAAAGAGATTAGCACATTTACAGATGTGACGAAGCTAACTCACTCGTGTCCTAATGCGACGGACAACAGTAATTGACTCCACATAAGCACAAAGTCACATAAACACATATGAATTTCCTTCCTAGATAATGATCGTCCCTCGACATTAGTAGAGTTCCAATTAGAAACAGCAGTGATCAAGTGCTTTTCTAATAGGACTTCTTAAAACCCGTAGACCCAATCAATATCTTACAAATTAAATCCCATACCTATATAATCACATAAGTATATTATCACATAACATACTAAACATACAAACATCTCTATCAAGCGAGATAAACCCATTGTCGTAAGAACCATTTCCCACGTACCCAAAGTATTCAAATCTAGTACACTCTAATACCAAGTTGTGATGCCCTAGAATAATTACTATAATCTATACTCAAAATCAATAAGTGATCACAATGACAAAATAATTATCTTTCATTGATTTACAATTAAGCTTTACAAATGAATGATGTAATAAAGAGACAAGATGAAAGTTAGACAAATAAGAAATGCCCTAAAGGCTTATATCTTTCCAAGACAAATATGAAGTCGGTTTTGGCTTATCGCGCTTCTAAGGCTTTCAATTTCAGTTCAAAGTTGTAATTGCAACATATTTTCCTACATTCAATAGATATTATTCGAAATTCACATAAGTCATACACTTAAACTTGTAAATTAATATCAAATACGTAATCACATGCATAATTAAGCATAGTACGGGTTGGGTTATCACAGTCTTCCCTTCTCTAGGAATTTTGGTCCTCCAAACTTGTTTACCTTGCGTCAGATACAAAGCAAACATTTTAGTCACAAATCATTCCCTTTTTTCCAAGTGGTTTCTCCCCCATTAAACTTTGCTACAGAAGTTTAATTCAAATCTCAATCGTTTAACGGTTCACAGTTCAATGATCCATTACAATCATCCAAGGTTATTCAGTAGTCTTCAGAAATGGAATGCATTTTCATAGATCAACCCCATGATAACGGATGCAACGTTGAAGTAGTCAATCACATGATGTTCATAACTCATATATCACAGTATCCCATATAATCAATTGTATAGTACGATAATACTGAAGCAGTCATTCGTAAAACGTATTAAATCCACATACTTCCACGTAGTTGAGGTTTTTGATCCCAAGTAGTGTTCACATTCAATATAATCCGTTGTTAACAATTCCTTCAACATTAGATTTAAAATACGATGACATGGATAGAACCATTCTCTAAAACCATCAAACCCATGGTATCAAAATATGTTCCCAATCAATTAGAGGTATGGGTTTGTATATTGTTCGTATTGGATAGTCTATTATTGGCAGTCCAAATAAAGTCTTCAAGACATATTCAAGTTCTCGGTTTATCATTT